GAAGTCGTGTAGTGTGAACAGCACACTGATCTGATGACTTAGGAAGTCGTGTAGTGTGAACAGCACACTGATCTGATGACTTAGAAAGTCGTGTAGTGTGAACTCTGCATAAGAGCACTGGAACCCGCTTGCTAGATGTTGAAAGCTGAATTGGCTTCATATAGCTGTGTAATTTTTCATCATCAGTTTCTCCATTTCTGGAATGATGCTAGATGTCAGCATCTGACCTTATATTTATCCATTCTACTGAAGTAACCAGTTAACAAAGGCAGCCCTGATCCCAGCACATTGTTCCTGCCGACGGCGCAGTGCATTCTGAGCCCTGTCAGCCCGCTGCCTCTCCTCAGGTCACCATCATCAGCTTCACGCTGGAGATTCCTGATGTCCTCATGGGCATCACCTTCCTGGCAGCAGGAACCAGCGTCCCTGACTGCATGGCCAGCCTCATCGTTGCACGACAAGGTGCCACAAGCCGCCTTCACTTCATGTGCCTTGTGCTCTCGATTCATCTCCCCATCATATTGTCTGATTCCGTCACTCTTTTCCTCTCATTTTCTGCTGAAAGGTCTCCCCTTCTGTCAGCTTATATTGCCTTTGTGGGGTGACTGATGAAACCCTAACGCTACCTCTGGTAGCACTACTGATAAGACATACTAAAATCTTGGCTAATGTTGTTCATGCTAAATGAATTGGCTGGCGAGCCTGGAGTGGCCAATCGGGAGAGCCAGGAAAATCCCCATTGGGCTATTTAACTGTTGTGGTGGTCAACAAAATAATTTAAAAGTTTAAAATTGAGCCGGTCATAAACAAAATTATTTGACAAGTCTAAAATTCTATAGCAATGCTTCAGAATGTTAACCAGTGAGTTTTCTCACACGTGCGCACTCGCACACACACACACAGGTTTGTAATTATATGCTTGTGGGGACTCTCCATTCATTTCTATGGAGAAAATTGTAATCCCAGCAATAATAACCTTAACTCCTACCCGCCCTAACCAAAAAATGGTCCCCATAACGTCAAAATAACACATTTTTATTACATTGTGGGGAACATTTGGTCCTTGAACAATATGCTATTTATTGTTTATTTTGTTTGCGCAAAGTCAATAAAAGTTATCCAGATAATAAGACTTGAACTCTGGCATCACTTATTAAAGGTTCCCCAGAACAAAAACAAAATGGGCTGAAAATTCAGGCATAAAACTTCCAGGCTGAAAGTTAGTCCCACTCCGTGTCTGTTGGACGGATGTGCCTTTGAGGTGCTCATGGAAGTTTTACTTACACAAAAATGTTCTAAGGGCAGAAGGAACATTGATTGGTTCAGAGAGGTAATCAATCAAATTGTAGAGGAGATGGGTCCGAGCAGCTAGAGGAGGCCGGACCAATATATCTGAATGGTTGGTGCCGCTTCCTCTAGTTGCTCAAATCCACCTACTCTACAATCTGATTGGTTATCTCTCTGAACCAATCATTTTTCCTTCTGCCCTCAGAACATTTTTGTGAAAGTATAAACTCCCGTGAGCCAGCGGGGTTTGCATGATCCCCACATGTCTGTAAAAGTTTTCTCCTGGTACACTGGTATCCTCACACAAGATGGGAGCTTTAGGTGAATTTGCATCTCTGATTTTTTTTTTTTAGATTAGAGCAGATTCGATGTCGTCGTCATTGTGTTGAGTTGAGGTGCAAAGCCAATGAGATGCAAACCCATGCTGTGGCATTGCATGCATGTGTGTGTGTGTGCGTGCGTGCGTGCGTGCGTGTGTGTGCGTGCGCGTGCGTGCATGCGTGCGCGCGCGTGTGTGTGTGTGTGTGTGTGTGTGTGTGTGTGCGTGTGTGTGTGTGTGCGTGCGTGTGTGCGTGCGTGCGTGTGGGTGTGTGCGTGTGTGTGCGTGCGTGCGTGCGTGTGTGCGTGCGTGTGTGCGTGTGTGCGTGTGTGTGTGTGTGTGTGTGTGTGTGGGTGTCACCTGGGATGGGTCGCCGTCTTGTCCATGGCGTCCCCTGCTTTGTGTTATGTACTTGCTGGCAGAGGCTGCAGACTCACCATGTTCCCGTACCGGAAACGTATTATGCATGGCTGGTTTTCCTCCAGCACCTCTTCTTAATCCCCCTGCCGCCCCCCCTTTTTTCAGTGCCTTACTTTGCCCCGTCTCTCTGATTGTCCCCAGGCATGGGGGACATGGCTGTGTCCAACTCCATCGGTAGCAATATCTTCGACATCCTCCTGGGTCTGGGCTTCCCCTGGGCCTTGCGCACTCTGGTTGTGGATTACGGGTCTACGGTAGGTCTCCCTGCTCCTGTCCATATCTAAAGGTTGTGCCAAGAGAAACAATGCCGTGATGCAGTGTTCAACACGTTATTGACACGCTGATGTAATCTGTTATTTATTATGAATATTTTTAACGGATATTTTTTATTATGAATCTGTTGTGCTTTCTCGGTCCTTCTAATTATATAGTATAATGTGGTGTTTTACAATTTAAAACATAGGCGCATTGGACAATGAATTCCGGAAACATGCTTTATAAATTGTATATGTATGTAACCCCAAGACAAGCAAAAGAAAGAATGCTCGGTTTTTCTCTCATGTATTCTTTTAAAGTGTAGATAAATGTGCCTTGTTCACTAGTTTGTCACTGAACAAATAATCTGATTTATTTTTATTTACCTTAATATTTTCTGTTTACTCATTTCCACATTTTTTTTGTCTGCCCTGCCACCCTCAGCAAAAAGGCAAAGTCACTTCTAGCTAAGAATATGTTAGACTCTTCAAAATATTTACTTTGTATCATTCTGAGAATCTTCACAATCCACAAGGAGTCTGATGAATCACTTCAACCACTTTTGTTGAGCGACATTTATAATTATGGCAATTGCCTCATAAGAATCCTATTCTCAGGGAATTTATTACAAAAAGAAGAGTGTAAATCAATGTGTAGGAAACAGTGAAGTTATTCATAAACGTCTCACAAACAGCATTTAGACTTTGAATGACTGGATCCCCTTTCTCTTAGACCACCAGACTTTAGAGTTTTTTTCTGTATATAATCTCTGCCATTTTAGTATTTCAGGCAGGAACATCTCTTATAAATGTGCATGTGGAGTAGGGTGGTGTGGTTTGCTGGGTGGTCTGGGGAACCTGAACCTGGCGATGTACTGAGGGTGATACCACATACAAGCTTCTGCCTTGTTCTAAAACCACATCATGGCTTAACTGGGGATGCGTCCAGGATCTTAGCACTTATTTTAAGAGAGCTGTCTTGAACTGTTAAGATGAAGTGATTCATGGCCTTCGCTGGTACTTAAACATTAGGCCTGATCCAGCTGATAACATCCTTCCTGTCTTACGATAGTATATCCTGCACTCTATGCTTACTCTTGAGGATTGTTTTCTCTTTCATTCTTTCCATCTCTCTCTCTTTCCTTCTTTTATCTTTCTCTGCCAAATATGTTGACTTTAATGGTGTAAGGAGGCTGGCGTTACTGAAGGTTGCCCGTACTAAGAGGATAAGTAAAATCTTCAAACTGTTGGCCGCTATGAAAAAGCAGCTCATAATCGGATGCTCCAAGGGTCTGTTGGAGCAGGAAGAGTAATTCATTGTATTCTGAGAGGGTGCAGCAGAGGCTTGTCGGGCCGGCGGTTGGTGTGCTCTTAGGTAGCTAGAGATGCAAAAATAAAGTGACACGCTTATAAACGTTATTAACATTCATCATTTGACATACGTGTAACACTGTCCAAATAAATCTCTTGTCACATCTTGCACTTTGGATTTAATAGTGAGCTAATTGATAGATTTACATCAAATTTAATGACAGCAATATTTCTGTATCACTATTTTTTAGCACAACATGTGTTTTTGATTATTAATGGAGGAAGATGCTGTATATGCAGCAGATTGTACATGGTGTGGCAGGTAGAGTTGTCTCGCTATGGAGTTGAATCTGGCCGCAGTACTAACTGCGGAGACCTATGGGCATTGGCCAAACAACCAACCCTTAAATGCCTGGCACACTAAAGGCTTGGCACTTAGCCTTTGACTCGGATTTGCTTTGAATTGAAGGCTAAATCGAAGACTTTGCTGACCTTAGCCAAAAGAAAACCCATTTACTGTATTCAAAAAAACCAATAGATGTTGAAGTGTTCATGTTTTATTGTCTTCAGTCGTCCTACTTATGTCTTTGCAGGTGTTTATCAACAGCAAGGGGTTGGTGTACTCCGTGATCCTGCTGCTGGCTTCTGTGTTCCTCACGGTGAGCACGGCAAACCCGTCTGAAGGGTCAGAGGTCACGCACAGGGTGTGGGAAAACATGGGAGTTTATGAAACTTGTTGGCAGAGGATTGTGCTCCATATGACGCCAGGTTTCATTTACACTGCTAATAAAGCATTAGCGGTGGATCAGAGCCAACAGGAACCTGTGAGACAGACGGATTTATTGGTCACGCACGTAAACAAAGAGTATCGCTACCTCTTAGTCAAAAAGGAATGAGTCCCGAGCTTAACTTTAAAGGTTTATTACTTCTGTTTTCCTTCATGAAATTAATTCCTGTCAGTACGCAACTCAAGACATCTCTTCGTATCTTGAGCAATGACATTTTTAGACTTGATAAGTAGATATGTTGAAAGCATCTTAAATGAGTATATGTAGTGTATGCCAAAATAAGCATCCAAGTTGCTGAATCCTTTATTGGAAGTATCAGTGTAGATCTTAATACTTACAGGGATATATTAATGTTTGCATAAACCTGGATAAATAATTAACCCTAGTGGCCTTGTAATATTTATCTTGTGTTCTCTTTTAAAAAAAAAACAATAATTGTACTAGGTAACTGCGGAAATAAAGAAAGTCTAGTGTGGTTAAGTGATCAACCAATTAACACCCTGTTACTCATTACAATGCATCAGTAGGTGCTGCAAAGGCCCAGCGGCCTGTTCACTTTGCTGATGTTTCAAGGGAAACATCTACATGTTTGCCTGAATCATCTGTGATTTTCACACACAGATTTGAGATTCAAGGCAAAAACGATAAGCGACTTTACAACTAAATGTTAAATCTAAGTTGTGAACAGGCCTATCCGTGCAGATGCAAACTACAGTTGGATTGAAGTGCATCAGCCATAAAAATGCACTTGCTTGTGTGAGTAAAGTGTTACTAAATGTATAGACAGTGATCATGTGGCTCAGTAGGCTGGACACATCCTCCTAAAAGAGTCTCACAGGCTCAAGGGCCTGTTTCCCACGGAGAACGGCTCTGGAATCTGTTTGACATTTTGGGGTGCATTTTCCCTTCAGGATCCAAGGTCATTCAGTCCTTTAAACGAGAGGTTAAATAACAATTAATAAAAAGTCTGACCAATCACGTTCGTTTAATGGGGAATCCTTGTCCTGATTGGCTTAGAATGCATTAAAACTCTCCTGATGGCTCCCAATGGGAGCACAGACAGCGTATTTTGGCAGCTTCCTGTATGTTACACACAACTGGACTGTGCTTCTTTGGTGTCAATGATGTTGCTGGTTCTAGTCTAGTGTGGAGGTGAGGGATTTGCTATCCTGCCCTTGAGGGAGCTTTTTTATCAGTGCATTTTTTTGTTTACAATTAATCAGAGCTGTAGTTTACAATGAAGGAGCAGCCAGGACTCTCATACACACACTGCCTGGCCAAAAAAAAAGCCATAGTTTGAAGTTCTATCAGCCAATACTTGAGAGCCAATGACTGGATCATTATTACAGCCCAGCAACGTTATGCAGCAATAAAGTGAAGTCAGCTGAGCACCTGAATCTACTGTCCAGGTTACACCTCCATCCATCATCAATGGGTTTTCTCTTCCCTGTTGACATGGGCATATTCCAGGACGAGAACTCCAAGATTCATTGGGTCGAATTGTCATAGAGTGGTTCAGGGAGCATGAGGAATCATTTTCACGTATGACAGAGTTGTGACCTTAACCTCATTGAAGGTCTTTGTGCTGAAGGAGGCTTTATGGAGTGGTTCAACACACTAGTCAATACAGGATCTCAGTGAGAAATGAATGCAAATCTCGATGAAAATAAAGGGTGAGATGTTGCATAAGCCTGTGGAAACAATGCCATGACAAATGTGCGCCATAATCAAATCTAAAGGCGGTCCAACGAAAAATTCAAATGGCGACTTTTTCTGGCCTGGCAGTGTACGTTATATATACAGTACTGTGCAAAAGTCTTAGTGCAGGATATACTGTTTCCCATAACTACTCTGATGAACTTGACATTGGTTCATCATGGTAGATCTCGAGACGTCTGCTTGTTAGGTTATTTACTGGTCTAGTTGAGGGAAGAGTGTGTCAGCTTAGCTTTTTGAAAACCTCCTAAAGTCACCTCAGTATTTGCAGTCACACACCCATGCGTTTTTTTATTGGCCGCTAACACACCTTGTATGGCTAATCAATTATTTAATTATTTGTTATGAAATGTAACAAATACATGGAACGGCTGAGGTGCCCTTGAGGAGAGTTATGGGCACCAAAGCGGTGTTCATCTTGCCATCCAACTAGATATCTGTAACTTTTTGCAGAAATTCTTGTTGGTTTTTGTCAAGTTAATCTTAGTTTGCATGTGTTTTTCTCTGAGCAAATGTACATTTATTACCCAGATAAACAGCCTGAAACATGTTCTATGACTCCCTAAGACTTTTGCACTGTACTGTAAAAACTGTGTGTGTGTGTGTGTGTGTGTGTGTGTGTGTGTGTAGGTTATGTATTTATATATAAAACCTGTTATCTGGTTAACCTGTTAACCTGTTTTGACATTATGGGGACCCTTTTTTCGGTCGACACAACGTGGAACCTCAAATTTATAAAAGTCTGTGACTACAATCAAAAAACTAAAAATGCCTAAAGTCTTCTATTTTGTTTGGTTACTTGTGAGTAAGGTTAGGGTTGGGAAGGGGTTAACCTTGTCGTTGTTGGGATTACATTTTTTCCATAGAATTGAATGGACAGTCCCCGCTAAGATATGGATACAAACGTGCGTGCGTGTGTGTGTGTGTGTGTGTGTGTGTGTGTGTGTGTGTGTGTGTGTTTTGTGTGTGTGTGTGTGTGCACGCACGTAGACATGACTTCGTCCATCCTCCTGGCCTCCCCCCTCACTGCCATGTGCTGTGTTCTCCACCTGTCATTCTGCCCCCCCCCTTGCCCAGGTACTCAGCGTGCACTTGAACCACTGGAGGCTGGACCGGCGCCTGGGGGTCGGCCTGGTGCTGCTCTACTCCGTCTTCGTGCTCTGCTCCATATTCTTCGAGCAGCTGTAGCCTGCCCTCACGCTCCGTCATAGCTGCCTGCACTGCTGACGCGGAGAACATGCTTGTTCATCTTTCCATCCTGTTTGGTTTAGAGTATTCCTGTCTCCCATAACTACCCTGATGTACTTGACATTGGTTCATCATGATGGCTCTCAAGACGTTTATTACTAGCCTAGTTGAGGCCAGAGTGCGAGGGTTTGGGTCAAAGGCACAAGCCTTTGCCCCAAACCTTCCCTCCCCTCCTCTGCCCCTGTGATCTGCTGTGATCTGGATGTATAAACAGGCTGCAGGATTTCAATACTCCCTCGTCTATTTTGAGCTGCAGACCTGGCAGCCGATGTTGGGGACACATCCAGAAAAAAAAACGAAACTGGTTTGTCCTCGTCCCCTTTGCCCAGGCCTTGTGACGTCAGATGTGTAGCAGCAATTGCTGGCAGTGTGGGGATTGTGACCTCTAAAAATGTCACACAGTTCAAGTTTCTCTGTTCAAACCAAGGGAAGTTTTAAAAGAAAACTGTAAATGAACTCTATAATCAAGTTCATATGTAATGTGAAGAGGCAGAACTATTGAACTATGATTTGGAAGTGCTGTTAATATTTTAACATTGGGAAACTGACCTATTTTTACCCTAGAGGCCAAAAGGATATGAATCATGGTTGTTTTCTACCAGGTGCAGTCAAATCTACACAGGCACAAGTATAGTAGAGAGGACTATTTAACGTCCATTACATTGAGATTGACCTGTTTTAGTAAGGTGTAGGCCTTGCAGTGATCTACAAATGTGTCACGGTTTGTAATACGGCTAGACACTGAATTAAAAATGTTACAATACAAATCCATAAATAACATAAAAATCAAGCAATGCAACTTCCAGGAGAAAATAATTGGCTGTGGAAGGGATTTCTGTGTGTAAACGCACCAGAGACCAGTGCAGCATGCAGGAAATGTTTTCCCTACCAATGGCTAATGAACCATCAAAGGCTCAATGTGACCTTTCCCGCATAATCTAACTGTAATCTACGATAAGTCAATAGCCGGGAAGGACAGGGAGGGAAATTAAGGTAGTACAATGAAACCCTTTTGTTTGATCTGGTCATACTGGTTACTTATACAGTGCTAGCTATAAGAGTTCCCACTGTGGAGATCTGTTTGGCCCTCCAATGCGCTATTTGTTCCTCCTGATCAATTCTACCTGTCTTCAGGTCAGATATATGACATTTTCTACTAGTTTCTCCAAGAAAAAAAAATTCTTCACATTTAGTACATTTCGGTTTTTGGCTGTATTGGTCTAGGGTGTGGGTTTGGGTAGGATCACTGGAGACATGTCTCCGGCAATATTGTGGGAGTACCGTGTGTTCGGCGTCAATGGTCCTCACCTGGGGATGTGGTTTGATGCTCAGTGAATGGATACATGTTTCACACTGTTCAATTCTCTGAAAGTTGTTGAAGATTTGTTATAATGTCTGCACTATTCTGCATGACACATCCCTTCTTATGGAGTAAAATGAAATCCTTCTAAACATTCAATACAGATTTTGAATAGGTATAAATCTATTTAATATGTGTTTATATATTTTCAGCTGTCGCCACTTTTGATATCTTGTGTACGGGTCTAATATTACGGTTCACTGAGATTAGGTACGTTTGATGTTCAAGACAAAGATACAGTCTGACCACTTATTTATGAGTATTATTATATTGAGCAAGTTCAGAAGAAACCTCACATTACCTTTGCTAAGTGTTTACTAAACATATGCATAGTTTTTTAAGAATGGGTGTCAGAGAGTATCTAGTTATATTTGTGATGTATTTTAATATTAAATGATCATTGTTGTTACTATGTTTATATTTCAGGTTACGTGTCCTTCCAAAAAAACGTGTTTAGGTTTTTTAGTATCTATAAAGGGATTTTAAAGAAAGAATATTATATGTATGCAGAGCCCCTTTCATCAAATATGAAAAAAATATAAACTTAATGTTTTGTTTTTTGTAAACCAGTGTATATACAGAGTCATGATACATTCTAGGTATTTTCACTTCGGCAACTTTCGTGTTAGTTGCAAATCCCTTGCATGTTATTAGGAGAGGGACAGAGTCATTTATAGGTGTGTCCATCATGCCCAAGTCCAACCTGGAGCCACATTTCTTCTATGGTCCACTGAGCGAGGGGTTTAAACATTCGATTTCCTCTTATTTTGCTAAGTTTACAGTTAACTGTTGTTGACATCCTCACATGTTTCTGTAATGTTTTAACATTTTGACTGTAACTGCAATGCCAGAATTAAGCTTATCCTCTCCTAGCATCTGCCAGAAAGGTTTCTATCTGTTGCTCATGTGCTTTAGGTTAAACTCTTGGCCTCCAGATTGATGAGGAAGAGGAACCATAGTGGCAATCATGAGGAAAACCCCTAACAGCATATTATTCATCATGTCATTGCAAATGGCTAATTTCTTACTAAGGCTTGTAATTAGTGAGATGGATAATCAATTTATTATGTTACAGCAGCCATTTGAGAATGTCACATGCTGGCTGGTGTGGATCCATTTAGAGGTTTCTGGAACAGTAGCTAGAATCATAAGGAACTGAAATTGATGGCTAAAAGAGAAGTCAGAATATCCCAGATTGCAATTTGTCTTGTTTTAGAAATGTGAAGATAACAGAAGATAATGATATTGTGTATGTGGTTGGAGTGCAGCCTGGAGGCTATATGAACCTAACCATCGGGTATCTGCTTACACTGATTGGGAATTTTTTTTTATTAATTAGCAGCACATGTTGTACTTGCAGAAATAGGTCAAGCGGGTAGCGAAAACGGATGGATGAATGGATGGATGGATGGATGGATGTTTTACGTGAAAAACTAATAACTGAAATTGTGATTGTTTTGTCACTAATTTTATTTATTGACCACAGAATCATAAAATATAAAGTATTGACCAAAAAAAAAATCATATTTTAGAAAAAATACTGCGCAAAGTTTCACCTGAAGTCTAAAGCTACTGTTTTTGAGGTAGATGTGCAGTTCAGACATTTTGAAATGCATTTCTTACTCAATTCTGTTCTTACTGTTCTTACTGTTCTGTTCTTACTGTGCTTACTGTTCTTACAGCTGACATGCTATTTGTTTTTGCCATTTTGCCGCAACAACTTTACAGTCCAAAGTGAACACAAGAAAACATTCCTGTTCCCTTCACTTTGCCTTGTTTATTCTTGTCACCGCTGTTCCATGCTTGCCCTCTGTCATTTTCTATCGATTGCCCTGAGAATTAAACAACTGTGATGAGTAGTATTCACACTGGGGGGGGGGGGGGGGTAATATTTAGGGGTGGCTTCTCAGTTGTCTCACACACAGACACGCACTAAGCAGGCATGAAAGACCATAATGCTCTGCTTAGCGTCTCCTTACTGGCGTCTGTCCACCGTAGTGCCCGAGTGTGGAGAGGACCATCAATAGCAGAACACCCCCATGGAGACTCTCGCCACCCCCCCACCCTCCCAAACCACTTCTCTCTGGAATGATAAAACATAACATAACAGGTCATGAGTCTACAGCTGGGTAGGGGGTGTGAAAAGTGTGTTTAAATGCTGAGCAATGAATCTCAGTATGCTAACAAGGTGTGATGTGAAATGTGTTCCAGAGGCTGGGGTCCTTTGGGAATGCAGCTCCCTGTCATTTCAGATTTCGGCACAATGCTTGTATTGTTCGAAAAAATGTACATTGTTGAGTGCAATAAACAACAGTCTGTGCAATATTTCTATATTTTTCCTTTTCTTTTGGTTGAAAATAGCAACCTGAAACCTCATATAATAAGGGTGTAATTTATTTCCATTGTACTGTCTTTATGATTAATCCTCCCACAGTGATCTGTGAGAATATATGGACCTTTATCAGTTTTTCAGGCAAAAATATACCAGAATGCAGGCCAAGTGCGTTCGCCACACTTGGATCAGTGCTCTTAAAGGTCCCATGTTCCGTATCCTGTAGATTGTAAATGGGCTTTTAATATTTGAAAAATAACAAATTAAAAACAACATTAAGAAGTCTTATTCAAAACTTCTCCTGCTTTGGAGCTTTACTGTATGTTTTTAAATTTGTTTTAGTTTCAAATATCTTTGTGTCCTTAAGTGCCGTCCTCTTGTGGGTTCTGCTGACCGTGTGAGACGCTGCTGTATCCGTAACGCCCCGACAGGCTAGCTAGGTTCCCCTCGTACTTGCCGCTGCTGTGTGGGGCAAATGGGGGGTGGAGGGATTAGCATAGACTTGCCAAAGGGATCAGCAGCGGTGGCAAAATTTATGGCTACCTTGGTGTTTACACCAATGGAACATGTCCTCTGAACAAACAACCACAGGGGCTTGACTAAGTGCCTGCCTGAAGCCAGAGCACATGCCCCGAGCCCAGCTTGTGACATTTCTGTATCACGATATTAATCTGCTTGGAACACTGCAGGTTCATAGGGCTCATAGTTATACTTAAAAGCTATGGGCTGGTCCCCGGTGTGCAAATAGGGTTTATAAGGACATCAGCTAAACATCATTAAAATGACTGTAGTGCTCTAGCCGAAACAGGTTCAATGAGGCTTTCTGACCCAGAATCAGTTGTTAAACAGTCTTCGTTGCTGGTGAACTGTAGACAGTATCTGTCCATCAGTGACAGTCAACTCAGTCTCCATGAGAACTCCTTGTCGTGCATTCTTTTCATCTAATTTTAACCATCCCACTTACTGTATGTTTCCAGAAATTTCTTGGGAGAGGCGTGGTTTGTAAAAATGTAGAGTTTGTGTGTTTCCCTCTGGGCAGTCCTCCTAGTGTGATGTGTGTCATATGATCCTGATAAAAAATATCTTTTCTATATTCGGTTATTAATTGCAATGAGTAGTATGTTTTAAAATGTAAACCTGTGCTACAACTGTGGTACCTAAAATAAAATAGACTTACTGGGATGATTTGTGCACCTTTCCTTTTTACATCCTTTTTAATAGACTTTTTTTGCGATTTTATTGTCCTGAAAGAAGCAAAACGGCAAACAAGGATATGAACAACGAGTAGGACAGAATTCCAGCTCACTGCGGATGGACTGTTAGGATGTAAATATTGAGTCTAGCTTGTTATATTTGAGTTAATCTTTTGTGGCACAGCCCTTGAAATTTCAAAGTGTTAGACATCCATCAAAGGACATTCAGGTAGCTGTTACACAACCCTAGATTTATCAGATTTAAAGTGCCTTGAAAATCTTTGTCCCTTCATACGTTTAGTCAAAGCTGTTGGTGAGGCCCTAGTTGTGTTATTCCTAGTTTTGCCATGATTTTGATATAGGGAGTTTACTCTAGAAAACCGTAACCATACTGAGGCATCAAGTACATGCCTGTATGCTTAATCCTGTTCATATGATGTATACCACATATATTTGGTTGTGAAAATGATGGGCGGGCCTGCAGTACATCTTGGGAAGGAGAGTCAGGTGACACTAACTGTTCTTGTTGATTTTATTTATCTGTCCATCGCCCCCAGTGGTTCGTATTATTGATGTATTATGTTTCATTCAAAACTCCTGAAATTTTGATTCATTGTTGCTCCCATCCCTGAAAATGGCAAGCCCAGAAACAACCCTAAATAATCGTCTGTTATGCTTCTGCTTACACGGTTTTACAGCCATAGAAAAAAAAAATTCTCTGTATTTTTAGACAAATCTGCATTTTAAAACCATGGTTTAATCATGGTTCTGCTGGCAGAAGGCTGTGCTGAGCAGCAGGTTGCTTCCAGGTTCAAAATTTCTAAGACTGCAGTACACAAGAATTAGGTGAAGCAGGAGACACCGGGAACGACCAGAGACCAGCCAGGTAAACGGCGGAAGCGACCATTAACTTATTAACTTATACGACAGCTTCTCATGAATTGTAGGATGACATCAAGTGACCTTCAGAAGGAATGGGAAACATTAAGTGCAGGTGTGAAGTGCACTGCTAAGACAGTGTGTATCAGGGTCCTAGAAGCAGGACTGAGGTCCCATAAAGCAAGGAAGAAGTCCTTCATTAATGAGAAGCAGAGAAAAACAGACTGCAGTTTGCAAAGAAAAATATATTATTCACAGATGCACATCTATAAATTGAGAAGTGAGTGAAACAAAAAATTGTGCTCTGGTCTCTTAATTTTTTCCACGGCTTTATATAAATGGATGCATTGATTAATATTTCTCTTCAAATAATAAGCTGAGGTATCCCTCAAGATAAGCCTTTGATACAAGTGAAATTATTTAATATCCTTTACTGAGTTATGACCAAAAATAGGGATGATTTTTAATGCTTACCAATAACAATGAGGGAATTTTAAACATGCACGCCTGGTTAATTTCCAATTTTAATGAATGGTAATTACAAATCCAACGGAGATCTCAGCTTATGTACCAATTTCCAGGAATGCATTAGGGTCACATATAGGGGGTTAATCGTAGCTGCAATATCTGTGAGAACCACAGATATACTAGATATCAAAAGAGGTTTCTGGAGTTGGATGGATGAAAATGGGATCAGATCGCAGGTGAATGGTATCCATGTAAAGCCAATGTTGCTTTCTGCAGAGGTGGAAAGTTCAGGTTCGGAAAGTTCCCAAGTGACAGTGGAGTATAAAGAGTCACAGTTGCAGAGAACTCAACTGGTTGGTTGAAACAAAATCTTGGTCTGGATTTGTTCTTTCTGAACCTGAACTTTCCACATCTGGCATTCTGTTCACCTTTCCCCGCATTGTATGTTGATTTGTCAGGGTTAGGAGGCTTGCCTGCAACAGGTAAGTGAATTGTTATGTTGCATGGAGTTTTTCAACTGCTGCCTAGGTCACCCATAGCAGATAGATCTTAACAAAGTTAAGACCTTCAGAAAAAAGGGTGCAGCCCTGGTACAGTTTTGTTCCCCAAGGTACAAACCTTATTAATGTACCCCCTATGGCACAAAAATGTTCTTCAGAGTCCATTTCTGTACCTTAAATTAGACTGAAAGGTACATTTACGTACAGCTAGGGAACAACTGGCAGAGCCTTGAGGGTACAGCCCCAGGGACAAGTAATTCTACCCTCAAAGGTATAAGCTAATACTTTTTTTCTGACAGTGCAGGCAAAACCTACTGCTTACAATTTGCAGTGAATGATCACTATAGTGATGACAATGATACTATTTTCAACGGCAAGGTAGAAAGTGATGGTAAACACACACACAAGAAAACCTTTTTAGAGACACACCAGAACAAATAACAATATAGTCCAGAAAGACGGGCTCATCAGATTGGATGGCACTGAATATACTATTGAGGAAGAGGTAAGGATTCTTCGGAGTACAGCTGGTGTTTATGACACTCTTGGATCAAAGCCTATTGAGTGTCCAATTGCTGATGGTGCCATGCTAGAAAATGCCAAGCTGCAAATAAAGTATTACAGAGCATGATCTAAGGAAATCTGGATGTGGTAAAGATAGAAATGGATTGCTTGTAGGTTGACATCCCAAGCAATAGGAAATAGCAAACTTAAATGGAATGGACACTTTCAGTCAGGAAAACTAGTAATTATATACGATGCTGTGATGATCAACTGATATCAATTCATTTCGTTGGATACCCTTTCAATGTAGCAGTTATGCAGGCTTATGCCCCAACAAGTGAAGCAGAAGAATAGCTGTTTTATGGCCCAGGTCAGGCTGAAATAGCACATCCAAATATTCAAAGAAATATTGCTGGCAATTGAAGAATGGAATGCCAAAGTTGGAAATGAGAAGGTGGGAAATACAGCAGGGTAGTATGGAAATGGAAACTAAGCTGGAAGTGATTAAACAGCTTCTGAAAATCCATTGACCTTTGCATTGCCAATACATTCTTTGAGAAACAAATGCATAGTAATTACACCTGAATATCATCAGATGGAGTTAACAGACATCAAATAAATTACAATCTCATTGACAAACAATGGAAGAACTCAATTCAAATACCAAATGCATGGTGAGGAGCTGATTGTGGTATAGTCCATGAATTACTTATATGCAAACTCCAAGTGTAGCTAAAAAGGAAGAATGCCATCTGACTTCCAAGATGTGAGCTAGAGAATATACCCTTTGCCATCCAGGAAAAAAAAAACTGATTTGAGGTGCTGGATCTCCTTGAGTGAGAACCCGAGGAACATTTCACAGAATTCAAGGAAGTCAGCTGAGAGGAACCTGAGAAAGAACTGGTCAAGCTGATAGGGCCAAAGATGTCAATGTGAATGCCACAAGGGAAATTGACAAGAGAAGTCGAAATCAGAAAAGATATAGATTTCTTCAAAGTACTGACTTCCAAATTCCAGAAATCTACCAGGAATTACAAAGGATAGTTTTAACGGCACAAACCAGCACAAACGCAGCACACACGATTACGATCGGTCTGGTGGAAATCAGGCACAAATGGGGGGCCAACTTCACGCTGATGACGTCACCATGTAAACAAACATTTATATCTCAGAAACTTAAAACAGCACAAACAAAAATTTTAACGGCACAAACGCCAGTTTGGTTGAAATCTGAAACATATGGGGGGGGCAACTTCACGCAGGTTCCTTACCTGTGTTTTTAGTTCAGTTAAATAAACCCCGTTTGTTGTTCTTGGAGTCGCCAGTGGGTCGTCCACCTTTTTTGTGCCCGTGGCATGCCACGTTCCCGCACCAAACCCGTCTGGGTCCATGACAGAGAATATCAATGGCTTTGAACCTTGGAGTCAGCAGATATCAAGGGAAACAAATGGACATTGTTCAAATCAATCCTGAAAATCCACTTGAAGTACAAATGTCCAGACTAAAGCTGTCATATTTTGAGTGTATTGTGCTTCAGATAAAACTATAATGCTTGGAACAGTTGAGAGTAAAAGAGGAAGGCAACCGCCAGCAACACAATGGATGGATCCAATTGTCACGTCAATGAACACGTCTTTGAGAAGCCGGAATACCTGAACAGTAGACAGAAAGTTTCCTTCCATGGGGGTAAAAAGACAAGTTGCTAATCAAAGTGACCAGTGCAAATGTGAATACAGACGCTCTTCTACTTACAAATGAGTTACATTCCGAACGGCCGTTCGTAACTTAAAATGTTCGTTAGTCGTTATTCAACATCATTTTAAGGGTATCCTCAAGTACAAAGAACTAGGATGCTGGGAGTACGCACGTCACACTGCTGCGCGGCAGGATTAGTGGATAGTCGTTCTAGGCGGAATTGGCATGCAGGGAAAAAAAAATGATGTTGCGGACAGGAAACGGGAGCCCAATTAACACAACTTGGACTTACATTTGGACTCTTCGTTTAAGTTGAAAGTTCGTAAGTAGAGGAGCGTCTGTAGTGTCTTTTGTGTTTTGGTTTTGGAAGGAGGGACACCACGCATAACTCCCTTCGGTCAAGTTTCAAGATCCAAAATTTTTATTTGCCACAAGCATGAATGTAGTGGCACAACAGCAGTGAAATTGCTGCTACTCCAGACTGTGCAATCTGCTCCATGTGTTTGCCTCGAGGAGTTAAGTAGAAGACAGCAGGATCTGGATTGGTTAATGAGTAACTGGCTGCTCTCCAGTCAACAGCACTTCCTACTGACGCTGCAGTGACCCTGGAGCTTCCCGGCAAGGAGCCACACTTGTGACACAATCTGCAGTGCTGCCACAAGGTAATACTGTAGCACTGGAAACTGTGAAAGCATAGCAAGCTAAGCCAAAAATTACAGAGTGATTGCAATCGCACATTCACCATTCACTGAGCCAAATGCCTGTGTTTGAATCTAACAGCTTGCCCTCTTTAGGTCATTGTTAATTACTTAATTTTTAATCATTTTGTATATTTGCAGCATTGCTTTTTATCAAGAACATGTTTACTTCTGTTACAAATTCTACATTCCCACCACAGTAACTTAGTAGGCTATTTGTAACAGTATTTATATTGTTATCAGAACTAATGCTCATACTCGTATTATAAGTTCAACGCATGAAAAATTCACTAACTGTTTACTATTTTTAATATTTTCCATTTTAAAACACCTTGCTTCTTCAGTCATAATTTCCTAGACTTTCTCCGAGTTTGAGTAAATTGAAAGTCTCCTCTGATTGGTGTATAGGGGGGTATAGCATCAAGGGTAGCCTTGAGTGTTAGGTTGCTATAGCGATTTCACCATCTCGAGGCCGCTGCATTCCCCTTAATTCTCATTTCTGAACTCCGTTGGCCGGTTATCACCGCTTATGTTCTTTACTGTCTTTTTACAATATTTTCGCACACACCGTGTTCCATCTATAAAAAATAATGGAAGTGACCTTTAATAACACATATGTATGATTTAGTACGAATCAGTGATAGAAGACGTCTTCGGGTGTTTAACTAGGTCGGCATCTGAGACAGAATTACTCACAGCATTATGTAAGAAAACCTCTAATGAAAATTTTAAAAATAACTTCATAGCCTACTACTTTTGAGGTGAATGTGCCAGGACTTCTCTCAACACAGACAGCATAAATCATTTTTACAAGAATCGTTTAAAATAAGTAAATTGCTAATCAGCACGCACATTAGTTCAGAAATTAAATATGAGATATGATGTGTCTATGGTTATGTGTAGAAAATCGTAAACGTTTACAGTGAAAAATATAAAATGTATACTTCCTTAATAGTTATGGCTCAAGGTGACATAACATTCTATTACATATTTTGATTAATTATTCTGAAAAGTGATTAACAAGTAGTTAAAAACGTCTGAGGTCCCTAGTCACCTACATGGTGTTTGTACTGCAGGCTAAATGACACACTATTTGCACTTGTTGGTAGGGTAGGTGTCGTACGTTGGCTTTACTTCAGTCCTCTAACCAGACGCCCAGCCTTCTTCACAGTCACCGTCCTGACACGGTCACTGCGTTGTATAATGACCGCGACGGCGACGCGAATAGCGGAATGCAGAGCCTTTGATTCGCTTTGAGGAGGCACGTTTGGAATGAATCTATGCCGATCTGAGCTCCGACACTTTCGGTAAGCGTCATGTTTGTAATCAGAGGAAATATTAACAGCTTGTTCGCTTTCATTCCCTTCGGACCAGGTCTGCAAACGGACGGTGCATAGGGTAATTCAAATGTTTAGCTTGCTGAGGCACTTTCAGATTGATTTCAGTGCAGGTTGAGACATCCATTTATGTCACCAATAAAGGTAGCGAAGGGGTAAGCGAGGTACCTTTCTCTTGCTTGTTTCAGAGTTGGTTTAGTGTGTAAACTATCAGTTTTTTAACGTTGTACAACTTATTATATGATTTGTCGTTGCTTTTATGCTTTTATATTGCATGCGTCCTGGGAAAACACATGCGTGTTAAGACGGGAATATCTTCCATTACTGTAATTTATGTTGCGTTTTTAATGGTTTTCTGTGTTTATCTGTAATTGCCCTAGTGAAATGTGATAAAAGACGTTCAAACCATGTTCTTTTTGTAGTCTCATTTGTCGGAATAATTTGCTTCCACTTAAATAACTTTTCTAACTGTGGTTTGTAGGTACAAGAAATTCACTGAAAATCATTAAATGTTGATGAAAGGATTGTTCTGTCATCTTAAGGGGATGTCCTAGTGTCAGAGTGATGACAACAGCAAATTTCGTTTAAACAAACACCTGTTTTATGCGAGTACTTGATGAGCGTAAGAGACCAGCAGGTTACCTGCTCACTTACCTATGTGTTCAGTCTATATAAATATTTTCGCCCTGTAGCAGTAAAGACTGAGCTGGTAAAACACAGGAGTGCCTGTCGAGTTAGACAGGATTGCCAGATATCGAAATCACCCTTACAAATTTCTTTTGAAAAAGTTCATAAAATAAGAAGTTGTATGACTGTTAGTTTTATTTAGCATTTTTTATTTACTAGTAGCACGCTAACGTAGGATACTTGTAGTTCATCGTACCACTTAAATGAGTGTAGTAATACTGGTTTGTATTTTACTCTAATATATGTTATGTAATTTATGGAAGTTTGTCTTCTTTACATTTCTTAGAACAATAGACTACCGTATCGGCTCCACGAGTTATGTAACAGCACTGTAATGCATTCTGTAAGACATAAGAAAATATATTTAGAAAAGAAGTTAATGTTAAAATACATACACACAACTGGAATAGGTAGTACCTGGGCTTTGGGTAGCAGCTGCCTATTGGACCACAACTTGCGAAGAAAATTAATAAAATTATTTGCCTGCCTGTGATTTCTGCGTAATATAGCCTAATATCGGAAATGTTATAGTGATAATAGTAATATTAGATTAAATAAGCATACTAAATATAGTTTAAATGCATTGCCTAGTGTCATAAAATTGCATTTCGCTAGCAAGTCATTACGACCAATAATGAAATTTCATAGGTTCCCTTGCCTGGTTGCTGGTGCTAAAATTAAAGTCTGTCTGTCCGTGAGGCGGGGATTGTTCTTTTGCGTTGACATTGGAGCAAATTGCTAATGATGGAAGAGAACAAGCAATGGTTGCACCAAAAGATCGTACAAAATCGGGGTCCTCTTTATCAACGGAAATGTAAGATGTATTCTAGTGCTGATCCCAGACCTGTGGCGCTCAGGCATGGACTAGAGGTGTCAATAGGGCAGGATCGGGGTCATTAACGGAAGTACACGTTGGAAGCCTCACTCAAGCAAGAAATTTACATGTGTTGAGTCAGAACATAAGCCTCAAACGTTTGATGATTTTTAACAAGTTTTTAAAAGCTCGCTAAACATCAGTACATGGCAGCCCCTCCATCGAATGCAAACCATCATGTTTAAAGGAAAGAGAAACAAGCCAATATCTAATTTTACATTAATAAGTTACTATTAGGAATCTTAACGAGTGATGTTAGGCATGATAAATGTTTATTGACAAAGTTGCATATGCAGTAAAATTAACATTAATTTGTTTGTTTTTAAGGAATTTAATCAGTCAGAAAATTGTCATTAATGCCACCAGGATGTGTCACTTGAGAACATTTCACTTTTCTCAGTCCTATAGACAATAGTGCCTAGAAAGTAAACAGATGAAGTCAAGGCTGGGTGCACAAATACACATCGAAGTCAAACACTGAAGACCATCAGATGGTTTCTGTGTATGACGCTCTAGCAGGTATATACTGTATATCAACTAAGCTGCACTGTTACCAACCTCCACTTAGTCCCAGAAGGTGGGTGATTTTTATTTGTGTATTTAGTTTTTTTTGTTTGGGATTGAACTATTCAATATTGCATAATGTTGAATTTTATTTTATTTTTTTTTTAAATCTAGTTCAGTTGGATGTAACTCATTGTTTCAAGAACAGTTGTGGGTGGTGTGTTCAACTGTATCAGTCCAAGTGATTGCAGTAACTGCTGTGGTGTTATGTGAACAGAGAAACGTCTCTTCATGACATTTCAAAAGCGTTATAGGCCGTTTACTGTGGAAATGAAGCAGGAATATGCACCTTTACTGTACACCGCCACTGGAGAAGGTTATCCAGCCACTGTCCAACCATTTATGCAGTAAAGTGTCACTGGAGAACATGGCACGAGGAACTCAAAGCACACTATAGTATAGGACACTGCACAATTACACACTACGGGCACACATGTCTTTGGGAGGAAACATGTATATCCAGGGGAAACCCGCATGAATAAGGGAGGGATTATGCAAACATCACACACGCGGAGGCAAGAATCGAACCAGCAGTAGAGTCTAATGAGGTTTAGCTATGTGTTGTGATATTAATTGCCTCATTCAGTGGCAATGACGTGTTGGTGATTCAGATCAGGTTGTACCCCTCTGATTAGGAGACTTGGGTGTGAGTCTTGCCTCTGACTGTCCTATGCAGGGTTACTGTATTCTCCATCCACCCATCTTCTATATCTGCTCGTCCTACACAGGGTTGTGGGTCCAGAGTCTATCCCAGGAGCTATGGGTGGGTGCAAGGCAGGGAATAACCCAGGACGGGGTGCCAACACATCGCAGGGCACACTCACACGCCATTCACTCACACGCCATTCACTCACACATTCACAGCTATAGACAATTTGGCAACTCCAGTTCAGCTCAGCATGTTTTTGGACTGTCGGGGGTGTCCGGCAACAACCAGAGTACCCTGAGGAAACTCCACAACGACATGGGGAGAACATGCATTCCCACACACATGGAGTCAGACTCGAACCCTGGTCCCAGAGGTGTGCTAACCACTGCACCATCATGCCCCCCACACTGCAGTGTCGATTTTTATAATTATAACACAGCACTACCTTAAACATGAGAAAGTCAAAACTTAGTGATTTTGGAGCTATTCCAGGGCAGGAATATCAGTATATCAACAGAAAATATAATTAGTCAAGATCTTACTTTCTATATTTTTTTTTACTATATTTTTAGTAAATTTTTAAGATAAGATGGTGTCACTGTTGGATATATTTTATCAATTCCTGCCGTTGAAAAAATGTCAAAACTATTTTTCAGGGATCTGCATGTGCTATTTGTATCATTAGAGATTGTTTGCCCAGGAGTATTTTGGAATTGTACTAATCATTGGTTTGAACCAAATTCTTCAAATTCCACCATCTTTTAGCAGCTGTGGGAAAGATATGATAATTCTGTGCAGCAAACGGCCTTGCCGGACAAGGAACATTCAGTGATGGTGAATGTGATACATCTCTAATGAGGATGCCCCAGGGGGCGATTCTGGTCACGAATACGGGAAGGAGGTCTGTGGTTCCGCTGCTTGCCCAGGTCAGCCTGAAAACTCTGATGGGTGCGGTGTCATGTGACGTCTCTCTGTTTTGATTAATACCTGCTACCTACTTGGTTATTAGCAAAATTTGCTTCACCAAAAAAGTCTGAAACCTGAGGGAATAACAAAATAGACCGTTTTACCTTAAACTGAGGAGCAAAATTACACTTTTCCTTTTGTATATATCCTCTAAAAAGCAGCATGATGCACTGATCTGCACATGGCTGTAGCTGGTGATTAAGCAAGAGATACTCAAGCAAAAAGTACCATTTTCAAGTAAATGCAGTGATCAGCAGCAGATGTAGCCAGGACTGGACCTTACGAATTTTTGATAGTAGCCAACTTGGCTAGTTCAGTAAAAAAATGTAGTCCAACGTGCTTTTTTCCCAATAGTTCAGCGTTTTATCCTCGCCCTTCGTCTAAATTATTCACCTCAGGCGAGAGGGCGAGCTTAATTCCCAATCCTAACTATAGCTTTAGCGTTATCTGGATGTTTTTGTAATGAAGTTTCCTGTTAAAAGGATCTGTTAAAATTACATTCTGATTTTGCAGTTCTGTGGTCTCCCATCCAGTTAGTAATATATTCTAGACAAAGACCTCATCACCTATAAGTTGCGGATTTAGCTTCTAAGAAAACCTCTGCTGTTAAAACACAGTTGCCTAAGCAACAAAACATAACTCCCCGGTATAAGAACTTCCTGTTCCTGCAAATCTGTTTGAAATGTCAGGATTTGCTGAAGTGTTAACATTTTGTCACAACACCTGTTATCTAGTCCTCATCCAATCTGTTTTCCTCTGTAAGTCTAAGTCTATTGCATTATTCTGACTTTATATGCCTTTGCTTAGCATGCAAATTTATTTCTATTGTACATCTGAATACTTCTGCTTGTAGGTGAGCAGTATTGTTTACTTTTTACTTTGCATTACATTTGCAATATTAAAATTCTGGCTAAATGAGAAATTCCAGCATCTGAGCTCATTATAGCGCATTGTGAAGTGGGATACGTGCAAGTTTGTTCATGAAAATGTGGAGGAATGAGCTATAGCTCTGTACGGGATGCCAGTCCGTTGTGGGGCACATGCTTGCACACGGCAAACAATTCAGATACAGCAGTCAGCAGGAGTAAACTAGAGTAAACTAGAGTACCCTGAGGAACCCTGAGAGAACAGTGCCCAGAGCCTCTGGACCCCCTCCAATCATGCATACAAGCAGTTACAGAAGATGTTTGTATATTCTAAGAAGGGATGAGTCCCCCCCCCCCTCCCATA